TGCACGCCCCCCAGGGGATTGGGCCCACAACCTGGGCACGTGCCCTGACCAGGAATTGAACCGGCAACCTCTTGGTGCATGGGCTGACACTCAACCACTGAGCCACACTGGTCGGGCTTCCAGTTGTATTCTTAAAAAAAATTTTTTTTTTTCTGAATTGATTTGAGAGAGAGAGGAAGGGAGAGGGAGAGAGATAGAAACATCAATGAGAGAGAACACTGACTGGCCGCCTCCTGCATGCCTCCCACTGAGGATTTGGCCCATAACCTGGGCATGTGCCCTGACCAGGAATTGAACTGGCTACCTCTTGGTGCATGGGTTGATGCTCAACCAGCGAGCCACACCAGCGAGGCTCCAGTTGTGTTCTTAATCTGGGTAATGGAATCATTATTTACCCAGAAACTAGGGAATTCTTAATAAATTCCATATTCCACATAAAGTTTTGTTGATTGTACTTCCCTTGCATCTCTTAAATCTGCCTACTCTTCTTTATCCCCATTGTCGTTACCTTCCTTATTTCCTAATCATATCTAACCTACAGTACTATAGTCTTCCTCATAATTCTACTAGCCCCATGGTAAGAATGTATAAGTGGAGTGTAGTACAGAATTCTTTACTTAGGTATTTCATGGTTACTTGAAACTTACTGTGCTCATCATCTTTCTGTTCAAAATAGCCTTTCCCCTTCACAACTTTCCCACACCATTAACAGCAACTCTAATACATCAATTTTATCCTCTTCAATCTCTTTCCCACACTGTAGTCAGACGGATTTTTCTAAAGAGCCATTTCTGATCATGTCATTTCCTTGGTCACTGCCTCCAGGATAGTCTAAAGGGCCCTTTATGATCTGGCTCTTGCTGCCTCTACCAATCTTTGGCCTCATCCCTTGCAATCATTTTAAATGTTAAGGATATAAGAACTCTGAATCACTTTACATACTGTTCCTTCCCCCTGGAAGACTCCCTTTCTCAACTTAACCATTTTTACCCAGTTCTACTACTCCATCAGATATCAGTTTAGAAGGTATTTTCTGTCAAAGGATTTTCCTGACCTTCTCCCACCTCCCTAAATTAGGTGAGTGCCCCTTTGTGCTCCCAGAGCATTTTGTGCTTATCCCTATCTTAGCACTGATCCTTGATTTCTAATAGTCTGTCTACCCATCTTTATCATATCCCCCTATAATCTGTAAGCTCCTTGAGGGCAGGAACCATATCTTATGTGCTGTTGCAGTCCCTCCAAAGTAGGGGCTTTACATGTCTTTTTTTCTTTTCTTTTTTAATCCTCACCCGAGGATATTTTTCCATTTATCTTCAGATAGAGTTGGGGGAGTGGAGGGGAGGGAACATCAATGTGAGACACTAAACCAGGGCCGGGGACTGAACCACAACTGAAGTACATGCCCTTGACTGGAAGTGAACCCACAACTCTTTGGTCTGAGCCAGTGCTCCAACCGCTGAGCCAAATGGGCCAGGGCAAGGGCTTTACATGTCTTATCCTGTTTAATCATCACAACCTTTTATGACAGGTACTGCATCATTCCTGTTTCACAAATAGTAAACTGAAGTGGAGAGTTTAAAAAACTTGTTCTATCAAAATATATCCAAATAAGTATTTAAAACTAGGCAGCTGGACACTAAATCCAGCCATCACTAAATCCATTACCTTTAAATTCCCTCTCCACGTGACTTGGCATTGACCTATCTAAAACACAGATCTGACCTGGTCTCCTCTGTGTAATCCCTTCAGTAGGCCCTAGGCCGGGCTGCATGCCATATCCTCTGACCCTAGCTCCTGTCTACCTTCCTGGCCTGGTCTCCAGCCAGCCACTCCCCAGGACTCACGCGATACTGGTACTGCAGAAACACCAGATTCCACGGTCTCATCCTCCTCTAAGTGTTGGTCCCTCTACCAAATGTCCCTAATCACAGACTGAATGTTCAACAATTGCTTTTTTAAAAAATATTTTTTATTGATTTTTAGAGAGAGAGAGGAAGGGAGAGTGGGAGAGAGAGAAACATCAATATGAGAGAGATACATCAATCGGTTGCCTCACGTACGTACCCCGACCAGGGATAGAACACCCTACCTGGGCATGTGGCCCAACTAGGAATCGAACTGGTGGCCTTTTGGTGCATGGGACAATGCTCAACCAACTGAGCCAAACTGGCCAGGGCAACAATTACGTTTGAATTAAAATATTCCTGCCCAAGCATGGGAGGCCTCACCTTATCTTTTTTAAAATTTATTTTGCAAGTACATTTATTAAAGCTGGGGACAGTCAAACAAGAAAGGACTTAGGATAGAAAAAGCAACAGGAGAGATCCACGGTGGGGCTGCTATTGGCTCAATGAAAAGTCATAGAAAAGGGATCCTTGGAGACAAGTTCAGTGGGTTAGCCTGGGATCAACTGCCACTGCCCATTGCTGCCCTGGTTGCAAGTCTCATGGGGACCCTTAGAGTTTAGGAGAGAAAAGTAAAGATTCACGCCTGAGAGAGAATAAAGGCATAGGCATGCTCCCAGGAAAGCATGCCTCTCCTTATCTTTTTTAAAAGACGTATTTTTATTGATTTGGGGGAGAAACATCGACTGGTTGTCTCCTGTATGCACTCCGACCGGGATCGAACCTGCAACCTGGATATGTGCCCTGACCGGCAATTGAACTGGTGACCTTTCAGTCCTCGGGATGATGCTCAACCAACTGAGCCACACTGGCCAGGGCTCTCCTTATTTTTTATTAGTAAGTTATCTACCTCTAAGAAAATTCAGCTCACAACCCACCTCCTGACTCCCTTCCCTTAGCTCGTGAAATTCTGCTTGAAACAACATTAACTTGCTTTTATTTGTATGCCACTGTCATGTCTTAGTTTCCCAAGGGAAGAAATCTTCCCTTTCCTTGTTAATATCCCTCAAGACCCAGCAGAGGGCACTATACACATAAGGGCTGCTTGTGTGGGTGCCACTGTCTCACTGTAGACATCCTCAATGGCAACTGAGTTATTTTTCTCTTGCCTGCATTTTTTATACCCAGGCCACATCAGCTTAAAAGAAATGCCACTGGACAATAATAATGGTGATTTCATCTCTGACACCCTGCATATTATGCTGAGAGGCTTGTCAGCAAAATTATCCCTCAACCAAGTTGGAAGGGTAGAATAAACTTCGATCCACAATTTGGAATAAAGATTTTAGAATAGCTATTTGAATCACTGCAGAATCGGTCTGCCCTGGCGGCCTACCCCTATAGTACGGGAGGGAGTGAAAAAATAAGAAATGGCAAGTTTTAAACTGAAATAGAGCTAGCCATAAACATTTGTGGGCACCCCAGGATTCCTAAGGCTACAGCTTAAAACTAAGAACCAGGGAAGCGAGGAATAATGAAAAAATCATATAGAAGCCTAGATACTAACTCAAGCTCTTCAGTAAACTACCTTTGCCACCTTATAAGTAACTTACTTCTATCCCTCAACTTTACCTGTGTTAAAATAAAATTGCACTAACTGAATGATCTCACACTTAGCCTCCCTGATCTCATTCCCCAGCTGTAGCCACCTGGCAAAACATGCTCAAAGAGAAGTCATAGGATTGGTTTAGGATATACAGGGTGGGGCCCTATCCTGTGTGAATATATATCCTAGCTTTAATATTTGAGTCTATGACTTTTGAAGTATATGAACTTTTTCATGTATTTTCTTCCAGCTAGACAATAATTCCCACAAAGGTAAGTAATGTTTTTTTATATTTTTTTAATCCTCACCCGAGCATATTTTTCCATTGATTTTTAGAGAAAGTGGAATGCAGGGAGAGGGAGAGAGAGAGAAACATCAATGTGAGAGAGACACATCGAGAGAGAAACATCAGTTAGTTGCCTCCCATACACACCCCAGCTGGGGATTGAACCTGCAACCTAGGTATGTGCCTTGACTGGGAATCAAACCCACAAGCTTTTGGTGTATGGGATGATGCTCCAACCAACAGAGCCACTTGGCCAGGGCATGCCTTTCTTTAATATATCTCCATACCACCTGGCTCACCCGGTGTCAAGCATGCTGTTCAGAAAGGCCAATGGTTAAGAGGCATAAGAATCCTCTGGCTAAATCTGGGGAAAGTCAGGAATACTCTAGTTGAAAACTTATTTAGAAAGCTTCTGATTAAGGAGAAAAAAATTAGATACCAAGAACATTTCTTCTCAACTTACCCTCTCCCTCAATAAGATGGAGCTTTTTCTAAAACATCTATGTCTCTTGGACCTTGTTTATCTTCCTTGATGTGTACTCATTGAAAGGCCAAGCACATTTGGAAAAATACTATAAACTCTCCTAATCAAACTTGGGCAAAATGGGCAAGTAGTTTCAGTTTACCACATGTGATTGTTGGTGGGGCCAGGGAGAGACAGGTTTGAGTTTGTTTCTCCTTTGGGAATGTTTTCTTTTGTATATTACATTCACAAGTCATTTTTAACTTCTTTCAGAGGCAGGATTCCAGAGATGGTTTGGACATCATGAGAAAAGAAGTCACTCTGCCTCCTGCTGGCCACAAGCAGAGAGGCTTGAGTTCCTTTTGGCTTATTATTAGAGGTCACATTTCTCCTTCACAAAATGAGAACTTGTGAAGGAACATGACTGAACAGGAAAAGGAAGAGTGGGGTTCCTTTTTTCCTTAGCCTGGACCAAGCTTTAGGTGTCAATATATCATTTAGATCAAACACTCTCAAATCCCTCATTTTGTGAGCCAAAACCTGAGGTTGATGCATCAACAGTAGCTACAGGAACAAAGGGATGGACAGGAGTCGGGAAAAACCCTGGTCTGTATGTCAACATCCTTGACTCCCTCTCCCTGAGTGATGAAAGTGGAGAGCCCAACCATATCCTATATTAAGGACCCCTATTCCTCAAAAACTTAGGATCCCATACCAGCTTCTCCCCTGAATGATGTCTTCAGTCTTTTCTTCCCTTTCCCCAAACCTCAATAAAACACACCAACTGCTTTAGAGTATTTATGGGTTGGGTTTTTTCATCCTTTTTTAAAAAATTCCAAATAATGAAAAAGTCCCCTGGGCTCTGTGGAGCTCCCCATGCTCATGACCCCCTTTCCCCTTACTCACTGCCCTGCTCCCCACAGTAAATCTGTTTCAAGGACAACATTTTTAAAAAAGGAATTGACATTAATTGCATTCTCAGCTTGCTCTGCAGAACCAGAGGAGCTGTTTGCATCTGTCATATTTAGATGGACAGTTTCTTTTATCTGATACCAGGTCCCCAGCTATATCCAAGAAAACACAGTATTTTTCTACAGAGCTAAATTGGAACCCCACATCTTTAATTTACTCCACTTCCTTCCCCTCACACCCACCCCACACCAGCTACATGGTTAAGAAGGATAGTCAGGAATGTTATCAACTCCAAGCCCTAATTCATATTCCCCTGAATCTCCCACCCACCCTCTCAAACAATCCTCCCAACTCCACCCCGCCCCCCAGGATTTCACTAAGATTTCTCCCAATAGTTATTTGGAAGAAAGGTAAAACATAAAAGGTTCAAGGTCTTGGTGCTCAGCCCAAGGGGCTCCATGCGCTGGGACACCGACGGGCAGGGGCTTCTGCCTCTCCAGCCCGCGCCCGAGCCACCTCCTGAGCCCTGGCTGCAAAAGCAGGGAGGGGCAGGAGCCAGCACAGGACCCAGGGGGGGCAGCGTCTCAGGATCTGGCGGAGCCCCGGGCAGCATCATTCAACTTGGCCGCTGCAGACGAACACAGAAGAAGAAAAAGAAAACACTGTCAAGTAATAAGGGAAAAAACCCTAAATTCCATCCCAGTGTCTATCCCATGACTCTTCTACACTTAACAATCATTAAGTTACCTAGCATATCCATAGGAAATTATTTAAAGAGAGAAAGAGAGAATGAATTTCAGTCTTATCCACAAAACAAAATGTTCTCTGCTTTTTTGGACATAACCATAAAAACAAAGACAGAAAAACAATTCGTTAGACAAGATCAAAATAACTGGAGGCTTACAGGGATGTAAGCTGCCTCCTGGCTTGGAACAGGCTGTTTCACATGCACAGCCACAGCCACTTATAGCAGCGGAGGCTGACTGTGGGCACACAGTGACGAGGTGGTGACTAGGTGGAGGCCAGGGCCAGACAATACGCAGGTTGTTTTGAGTGGATTTAATAATCGAGGTGTAATCAAAGCAATTGGGATTTGGATTTTGATATAACCCTTCTTTGCCACGGGAGTTATGTACTTCATGCTGTGGAAAAACATGACAAATACAAAATGTAGCTTGATTCTTTTCTTTAAACTTGAATATGACCAGATGAAGAGAGAGAAACCAACAGTTTTCTGATTTCCCTACTTATTCTATTCCTTCCTAAGACCCAACTCATTGTGACCTCTGTTTTGAGGATTCAAAGTGACCAATAGAGAAAGTAGCTCAGACAGAAACGTAAAAAGTACAAAATTCGAGAAAATCAGAGATGAAGGAAACGTACAAAATTATATATATATTTATATATATAATAACATGACATATCTATGTACAACATGGCTGGGACAGTTGAGGAAACTATACAAGGATGTTCGGCATTATCCCCTTCCCACATAGACTTTAGACTAAGTAAGACAGCATGAGGAAATGGAGCAAGATACACAAAAATTATATACAATTACAAGTGACAGTCAAGGAGTCTGGGGACCAAGGAATCCAGGGATCCTGCTCTCTCCATTCCTTCCTCACCAACTTTTTCCTATCCAAACTGAATGACAGCCTGAAAAGTGAATGGCCGGTCAGGAGAGAAGTATATATACACCCCATCCCCGCACATGCACATCACCAAGTTCTTTAGTCATTCTCATTGGGCAGAATGTTTGGCCCTATCAGAATTTGTGAGAGGGCAAGAGAGGATTACAGAGTCCTCCTCTCTTGAACAGTTAGTTCTCACCCTGACCCTCTGTCATAACTAGTAGGTTGCCTTCAGTAAGATTCAGGCCAAGCTAGGAACTAGATTGAAGATGCTGGCCACCTGCAACCCCTTTCCTCCACCTGTTGTTGAATCAGCATTGCTTCTTCTCACCACACAAGAGCTAGGTTACTGAGCTCTAGGAAGGCAGAGATTTCTGTGTTCCCTCTCTCTCCTAAACCACCTTCCCCAGCTTTCCCCAACGTGAATTATCTCCTAAGAAACTGCTACTCCAGCCCTGCTGTAGTACTAAGCCCCAGAGGCTAGCTCAGTTCATCCCTTTTCTTCTTGTCTCCCTAACAGTACAACTGGCATCTGATTACATCAGAAATGTGGGACTCCACATGTGCATGACTGAGCATGTTTCCTCGGGCCTACAGCTCAGCTGCCGGAGCAGCCTTCTTAGTAGCAAAGGCACAGACTGTAGGCCAGGGAAGTGGGTTGGGGCAGAGGCAAGAGCTTCCAAGGCTAGCTTCTTAGATTTTTTTCTTGACCCTATGACCATGATAATTATGAGGCTCTCTTGCCTGAATTCATAACCCCCCCAAATCTCCACTTCCTCTTTCCTCACATAGTCTTCAAATGGTTCCCGTGTGTAGGCTGCTTACTATGGGCCTTCCTCATTAGTTTTACAATGAACAGCAGAGTCTTTCAGCTGACAGTTACAGAATTTAAAAATGAGAATCAATCTTATCCATATGCAACTCTATTTTACAGATGAGGCAAAAAGAAATCCTGAGAAGTTAAATGACTTGACCAAGGTTACATATTACGTCTACATGGAACTCGACCCGAACTCAAGATATCTTGACTCCTAAACCAGTGCTCCTTCCACTATCCCATGATACTTTCAAAAGCAACATGCTGGGAGAGAGAAAAGTTGCCCATTTTATGTTTTCCAATCTTTATATTAAGAGCCAGGGCAAACTGTAAGAAATACTGACTAAGGGAGGTTAAGTGGACATTGTAGTTTTAGGCAAGCAAATCAGTTTTTCTTTTTGAGGATTCTCTAAACCTGCCATAATGGAAACATGAAGCAATAGCAGCCTAAGGGACAAAACACTTAGAAACACAGAAAATAGATCTCATTCAATCTACCTTTCCCAACAATGTCAGGTTAACCTTGCATGTTAAACCTGCCACATTCTTCCCAATGCTTAGCCTAACCAATTTTAAGATATTCTCTTCCAAAAAAAGAAGTCATGTCTCCCCAGTTTCTTGTACAGAAGAAAAAGAGAGTTTGCAGTATTACCCGATCCTAGTCCCCTATTTCTGGGCCCCTACCTGGGCTGTAGTAAGGGTGTGGAAATCTCAATTTAATGAAAGAAATGAACTCAGAGCCTCTCAACACACATTATCTTCTCAGCAGCCCCCAGCTGAATCACAGTCATTGCTGGCTAGCAAGCTGAGAAGTTATCTAACTAGGTGCCTGTTCCATCCCTGCCTATGATATATAAAAGTCCGGTGGGTGAGGAAGGGGAGAAGAGGGGCCCTGGTTACCCCGCAAGCTTGCTGGTGACGAGCGAGGACTTTCTCTGGGGTAGATCTTGTGGGGTAGGGATGTGGTCACCAGTCACCAGGTTCTTGTCTGGTCCTGCACTTGGCAGCTGCTTATTCTTCATCTTGGCTTTGGCCATGTTGTAGTCTCCTGAGTCAAAGTACTTTTGCTAAGAGACAAGAGGGAAGTTTAGGTGAGTGAGGAGCACTGGCCAGCCTCAAAAGCAAGGAGACCCACATCTATTACAAACCCTCATCCACTCTCAGATCCTTCAAGTCTTCCTGATGCATATGCAGCTTAGCATTGATTACATGTACTTATGTCTTCTCCCCAATGTGTTCTGACTTTTTCAGGTATGTAAGCAGTTTCCCAGCTAGAGTATAGATTTTTGGAGTTAGGAGATAGCCCCTAAATCCTTTGTAGCCTCATCAGTAGAGGATGGTTCAACAAAATTACTGACTTTATACATAAAGGCTTACCGAGGACCTATTAGTCACCAACGGTCTTGGTGCTGGGGAAACAGAATAGAAGGGTCAATCTAGGGCTACCCTAGCAATCAATCTGCAGATCAACCTCTAGCCAACAACCTCAAAGTTGAAAAGTGTTTTCTCAGACCATGAATAGAAACTGGGCTTGCTCATGAGGATAATGTACTTTCCCTCTGACTCCCACTGCCCTAACACATGTTCCATGGTTGTGACAGCCTGCCCATGCCTGCCTTGCTTACAGCAAGGTAAACTGCAAGTCAGCATCACATCATCACCTATGACTAAGACTCAACAACTAGGAGTCTCCATGGGTCTGTTTCACACTCCATTTCATCCACACAGAGGAATACACTCCAGATTAATGATTTACCATCCCTCAGTCAGCTTTATGTACCTCCAGGTACTGAGAAACCTGATCAGGAGCTAGACGGCTATGAAGGCAGAGTCTCCCTTGGTGAGGAGAACCACTCTGAACAGGAAGGAGCAAATGGCTAGTGCTACCTTCAAAGGTCTGAATAAATCTATTCATTTCAAGTTGAGGAAATCTGTAGAACAGATGGTTTGATCTTTTCCTGAAATGATGCACCTCCAAAATTTAGCTCTAATTCTAAAAAGCAGTCCTAAAGCTCCCACCATCTAAATAGGCAAATATCTAGGGCAGTCAGTGTTCCAGTCTCTAACATCCTTCTCTCATCCCTCCAATCCCCCACATATCCATATGCCCCAACATTAAAACTTAATATCCTATATGGGAAATCAGAAGATACTTGATACCATATCAGAGATTTATACTTATTTGCCTTGCTCAGCATAATTTTCTAATTCTTCTCCACTGCTGCCCAACAACAAAACTTCCAGGTCAGCATTCAGTAGAACCTCTACAATCTCATCCCCTTTGGCTCCAAAGTAAGAGGGTAAGAGATTGTGTCCCATACCCCTTTCTGGAGTCTCTTCATGAGGAAGTCGGAGCCTCCAGGCTTTTGTCCTAGGCTTGGATATTTGGCCTTTAGCTTTGCCTCCTCAGCTCTCTCAGGGAGAATACCTTCTTTCTCCTGCGTGTCCTGGAAGGAACAAACAAGCCAATAAAATTAAAGACTGAGAAGCAACCGCTTCTAATATCTGTATAAGCCTTTATACTATTTTTTTTCCCCTGAAGATCCATCTACTTGTAAACATGCTATTTCCACTCTACTTTTAACTAAAGCTAGACCTTTGTTCAAATTCTAAAGCTCAAGAAGACTGTATTGTGAGAAGAAAAATATAAGGTGCTTCTCACACTACCCAGGGAGCCACTTCAGTGGCCTGTGAGTACTGGGTTAAAGGTAATATCTAAATATAATACTTTTTTTAAAAACTTCTTTTCTTTATTGATTTTAGAGAGAGAGGGAGAAAGAGATAGAAACATCGATGAGAGAGAACATCGAATGGCCGCCTCCTGCATGCCCTCCACTGGGAATCTGGCCCACAACCTGGTCATGTGCCCTCACTGGGAATCAAACTGGCTACCTCTTGGTGCATGGGTCGAAGCTCAACCACTGAGCTACACCGGTCGGGCCAATACTTTAATCACAGAGCAAGCCATCGCTCACTCAGTACAGAAGCTAGGAAAGACAAAGAGAGAAAACAGCCAGCCAAGACTGTTGGTGATACATGATGAATAGGAAAGTATCCTGGCTGTTCCTAACACAATACAGGTCAAATGGGAAAAAGCAAAGGGGATAGATAATTCTACTAAAATGTTCCCTCTTTATCTGAGAAGTCTCTGTGGAGGAGGCTAGAGTTATGTGGCCTTCTCCAAAGATCTCCACCTTAGTAATGGAAGGACACTGCTTTAGCATTTCCATAAACATGTGGTAGGAAGGTGGCTGGTACACAGAGATGAAAATGACACTATTTTTAATCTCAGGAAAATTAATATACAGTAGGTTCACTAGTATTTGCCCAGTTTTTGCCAAAAAGTCAACACCATCCCTAGTGGGGCAAGTGATGGCAGTTTGGGAAACATGCCAAGAGCTCAAGTGGCTTGCAGCAGCTCTCACTGTTGTTACTCTCTTCTCACTTTTGTGGGCCTCGCTGCCCTTTTCTTTAGTGACTTTTATTTTTTTATTATTGATTAGAGAGAGAGAGAGAGAGAGAGAGAGAGGAAGGGAAAGGGAGAGATAGAAACATCGAGAGAGAACATCGATTGGCCACCTCCTGCATGCCCCCCACTAAGGATTTGGCCCACAAGCTGGGCATGTGTCCTAACCAGGAATCCAGGTGGCGACCTTGGTGCATGGGTCAACGCTCAACCACTGAGCCACACAGGCTGGGCTCTTTAGTGACTTTTTTAATTAATTTTTTTTTTATCCTCACCCAAGGACATTTTTCCATTTTTTTGTTCAGATAGAGTGAGTGGGAGGGAGAGAGAGCGAGCGAGAAACATGGATGTGAAAGGGACATATCGAGTGGTTGCCACCCGCACAACCCAACTAGGGCTGGGGACAAACTGCAACCGAGGTACATGCCCTGGCTGGTTTGGCTCAGCGGTTAGCGCGTCGGCCTGCGGTCCAGAGAGACCCGGGTTCGGTTCCGCTAAGGGCTTTGGTGACTTTTTAAAATAATCTAAAGCCAATCTGGGGCTCTTCTTGGTGGGATTATATTCCTTTCATTGGAAATCTGGCACAAATATAACAGGTGTATTTTATGAACCACTGAACCCAGTACTAAATGTTGTAAGTCAAATACAACCCTCAAGAAGAGATTAATTTGGCGTGTGTTCATCACAGAATTGCGATGAACTAAGTCACTCTGCCTTGGATGTCTTGGGGAAGAGGGAGGCGTCTTTCTTGTCACGACTCTTCTCGTGTCATTTCTAAGTTTAACCTCTATTGTTCTGTACGGGACCCCAGTCCTCTTCAATCTTGTTTGGTCCTCACAGAAGGCGGGCAACAGACCATTCCTAATCGTCAAAATAGCTCTCTTGAGAAAGTTGCCTCCTTAAACTAGCCATGATAATAATTACTCTTCTTCCTTCCCCCAGTGCGGGTCCTTTTTAAACGTCTTTACCTCGACCTATATCTTTCGGAGGATTTAGGATGCAGGCCCCAGCCTGCCTGGTTGTTCAGTTATTTACCCCTAATAACCAATAATACACATCGCTTCCAGGGACCAACAGGCCCCTTTCATTCACCCAGTCTTTAGAAACACCCGCCCCCCGCCCAAGCTTGGCCAATTATAGCACAGCTTGAGTGAGTTGAGCTGTAGGTTAATTGGCCAACCAGAAAGGGTACGGCACTGACTGACAATCGACCCAATCAACCAGCGCCAAAGCAGCAAGCCGCGTTGAAGCTCATTCTGCGTGACGCAGGAAGTGGCCAACCCTTGCAGAGCTTGAGACCATGGCGACCAATCCGGAATGGTGGGAGACCGTCTCCCGCCCCATCACCGTCGCCCCCGGCTCGCCCGCCCGCATCCCTTCCATTTCACCTGTTTCTCCTCGCCGGTCTCCTCCGCAGGGTTCTCCTCTTCTTGTTTCTGAGACATGGTGGGACCGGGACTTTGGAGTGTAGGGGGCCCGGGAAGTCAAACGGAGAAGGGAAGGGGGAGGGGAAATGGGGACAACCTGCGCTGCTCCTTCGCTCCTGTCACTAGGGTTGCTCAGTTAAAATGGCGGCCCTAGCCTGTGACGTTGCGGCCGCCCCTTCCTATGGGAACCAATAGAAATTAGGTAGATGTGGCAATGACGTAACGATCTACCAATAGTTGCTGGCTAAAGGTGGGTTCTATGGAGGCGACGGGCAAGCTGAAACACCAATCTGGAAAAAGAGTGAAACACAAGGACCAATTGGAACCGCGTGGGGGTTGTAAGGAGGCGGTGCTGCTAGCTTGGGCATATTTGTGCCTTTGGTGGGATCAGATTTACTTCATCTCCGCCACCCAGGTCCCCGGAATCTTTGCTGATTTTCAAACTGGAGAGCGAAAGGATGTAAATCTTTTATTTTCAGGTGGAGAGGATTAAGCTTTGCGCAGAGTTGGCAGAAAGTTAGCGAGGTCCAGAAAATAATTTGGAGATCAGAGTGGCCTGTAAAGTACTCAACGCGATTCTGATGTGTCACTTGTGTGGAACCCCAGTCATTAAAAAAATTATTTTTATTGATTTTTTTTTTAGAGGAAGGGAGAGGGAGAGAGAGAAACATCCAAGACTTACTGGGGATGGACCCCGCAACCCTGCCATGTGCCCTGACTGAATGAACCTGGACCTCTTAGTCCATGGGACAATGCTCAATCCACTGAGCCAGTGGCTAGGCTACAACCCCAGTCTTTGGATATACACATGGCTTGTGTTCCATGATTTAACTCTTATGTACAGTTTCATATTTGTTTAAGGTCATCCCATGGACTAAGTTCCTTGAAACAAAGCACAGTTCTAATTGTAAACATTTACTAAATACAGTTAGCACTGGTTAACCTATCCTGAGTCACAGTTCAACAATATTTCTTGAGCGTTTATAGATGGTACCGTATTAGTTTTACAAGGGTTTCATATACAAGTAGTAAGGCATTGTTGCCTGTAGGTTAGTGGGCATGTGGGGAGGGTTTTCAAAGTGTACCAGGTGGACTCTAACTCCCCTAAATTAAAAAGACCCATCTTCCTGGAATGTTAGTCACATCATTTGTTGTTATGGTTGATCCTCAACTGAGGATGCTTTTCTAGATAGAGTGGAAGGGAGGGAGGGAGAGAAACAGAGAAACATCAGTGTGAGAGAGACACATTGATTGGTTGCCTCTTGCTTGACCCCGATTGGGTGCCAGGGATTGAACTGCAACCCAGGTACGTGCCCTTGACCGAAATCGAACTCAAGACCTTTCAGTCCACAGGCCAACATTCTAAACACAGCCAAACTGGCCAGGTCAATCACGTCATTTTTTTTCTTTCTTTCTTTTTTTTTGTTTTTGGTACTTGTCCCTAGCGGGAACCCAACTGGAGACACTCTGGTCTGCAGGCCAATGCTCTAATTGCTGAGCCAAACCGGCCAGGGCTCACGTCATTTTTATAGTAAAAACAAACATTAGTCTAATACTAATAACATTGCAAAAGTCATTAAATTTAATTTTTCAGACAGCTTTTTGTAACAGATAGTCATGACTACCTGTTCATTTTTCTGTATAATTCGGTGCACTTCTAATGGGAAAGTTTGAGAAGCACTGGAATACACTGATTATCATACAAGGCAAAATTTGATAAGCATTGAAATAAAACTGTTGAAGTGCTATAGGAGTTCAAAGGAAGGTTCATAGTTAGTTTAGGGTAAAAAAAAAAAAAAAAAAGACTGTGTGATGCAAGTGGTATTTATTTAAAATACCTTATTTATTTCAAATCTCTTTAAAGAACTTAGGAGTTTGCCAGGTAAAGATGAAGGAAGGAAGGATATTCCAGGTGATGGGCACAGCATGAAGGCTAGAAAAATAGAATCGAATCCAGAACATGGAGGACTTTGAATACTAGGATAAGGAACTTGTGAATAATTTAGTAATCCATGGGAGACATTTAAGGTTTTTAAGTCAGAGAGTGACAGGTCAGAACTGCTCTTTAGAAAGATTAATTTGGTGGTAATGAACAAAAATAATTCCAAATTCCAAATAGAAAGACATTAGACCAGAGGTGGGTAGTCTACCCAGGAGTCCACTGCAGTACTCTAAGTGGGAAACACTTAGGATTTAAACTACAAATGTGGTAGTTTGTAATAAAAAATAGTGAACGTGCCCTGGCCGGTTTGGCTCAGCGGTTAGAGCGTCGGCCTGCTGTCCAGAAAGACCCGGGTTCGGTTCCCCTTAAGGGCACGTACCTCCGTTGCAGTTTGTCCCCGGCCCTGGTTGGGTCGTGCGGGTGGCAGCCACTCGATGTGTCCCTTTCACATCGATGTTTCTCTCTCTCTCTTCCTCCTAGTCTATCTGAATAAAAAATGGAAAAATATCCTCCGGTCAGGATAAAAAAAAAAAAAATAGTGAACGTAATTGAGAGAGTCTGTGACAGTGGAATCCACTAGATTAGTAGCTGAATACAGGGAATAAGGAGGCCATGTGCCTGAAATTTGGGGGAAAAGTAGAAGCTAAATATGAATAAAATTTGGACTTTTTCACATCAATATTAGTAAAGTTGTGAAAGTAGATGGGATCATCAAAGGAGAAAGTAGAAAGAAGAGGTCCTAAGACAGAAACTTGGGGAAAAGTTGGCAAGGGACACAGAGACAAATAATTAGAGTGGTAAGGAGAAGAACCAGGAGAGAAGTGACAGAGAAGTTAAAGATGGAGGGGACAAAAGTGAATTGCAAGTTATTGTTTTTTATTTATTTTTATTGCTTTTAGAGAAAGAAAGAGAAACATTGATGACAAAGCTGGGGATGGGGTAGGGAGGATGGGAAGGAGGGTGTCAATGGGGAAAAAAGGAGAAACATCTGTAACAAAAATAAATTAATAAAACAAATATTTAGCCCTGGCTGGTTTGGCTCAGCGGCTGGAGCGTTGGCCTGCAGACCGGAGAGTCCTAGGTTCGGTTCCCACTAGGGACACGTACCAAAAATATATAAATAAATAAATAAAATATTTCATCATGTAAAAAAGAAACATCAATGAGAAAAAACATCAATTGGCCACTTCCTGCATGGCCCCCACAGGGGATCAGGCCCACAACTTGGGTATGTATCCTGACCAGGCATCAAACCGGCAACCTCTTGGTGCATGGGTCGATGCTCAACCACTGAGCCACACTGGCTGGGCTAATTGCAAGTTGTTAAAGAGTGCATAGGTGGTAGCAGTATTGAACAATAAAGCTTCTGCACAGCAAAAGAAACAAGCATCAATGTGGAAAGGGAACCTGCTATATGAAAGAGCATAACTACCTACAATACATCAGATAAGGGGTTAATTTACAATATGTGTAGCATCCTCATACACCTCAACAAAAGGAAGACAAAGAATCCATTTTAAAAATGGGCAGAGGACCTAACTAGATACCCCTCCAAACAGAACATACAAATGTCCAAGAGACATAAAAAAATACTCAACGTCACTAATCATCAGAGAGATGCAAATTAAAACGACTATGAGGTATCACCTCACACCTGCCAGAATGGTTGCCATCAACAAATCATCAAACAACAAGTGCTAGCAAGGGTGTGGAGAAAAGGGGAATGCAGACTGGTGCAGCCACTAGGTAAAACAATATGGTGGCCTGATCGGTGTGGCTCAGTGGTTGAGCATTGACCCATGCACCAAGAGGTTGCCAGTTCAATTCCTGATCAGGGCACATGTCCAGGTTGTGGGCCTGGTCCCCAGTGGGGGGCATGCAGGAGGCAGCCAATCAATGTTCTCTCTCATCGATGTTTCTATCTCTTTCTCCCTCTCCCTTCCTCTCTCTCTAAAATCAATAAAGAAAAAAAAATTTTTTTTTAAAAGAAAATAGTGCCCTGGCCAGTTTGGCTCAGTGGTTGAGCGTCGGCCTACGGACCAGAGAGTCCTGGGTCCAGTTCCCGCTAGGGGCACAAACCACAAAAAAAAAAAAAAAAGAAAAGAAAATAGCAATAATTCTCCCTGACTGGGTATATCAGCGGTTAGTGCTGTCCCAATACACCAAGATTTCAGGTTCGTTCGCAGGTAAGGGCACGTACAAGAAACAATCAATGAATGTATAAATCAGTGGAACAATGAATCAATCTCTCTCTCTCTCTCAAATCAATAAATCAAAAAATAGCAGTAATTCCAAAGAGCAAGAAAGATCTCCCTGAGATTAGATAAGTATGAGTTTGTGGTAAGTAGTCCCAACCAGTGGGGCTTTGTGACTTTGGTCAATAACTCCTGGCTGCCTTGGAGTGGAGAAAACAGCCAGCCAGAGTTAACTGGGACAAAAGGACTGGTAAAGAAGGAACAGAGGAGAGAAGACAATGAGGAAGTCTAGATTGGTTTGCTGGTTTGTTGAAATAGCTGACCATGGCATCTAGGCTCTTTAGGAAAGACAGAATAAGATTGATAAATTCAGAGAATAAAAAGGAGTTGACCAAATGGTCAGACATACGAAGCTCAGATTTGGTGGGAATGACTAAGAGAGGCAGAGAAGTAGGAGGTTGCAATGAGAGTCAAATTTCTATTTGTATCTAGGAAAGTGGAGAAATTATAGGTTATCATGAGCTCTAGCCTATGATAATTGTAATCGGTGGCAGATATGGCATGGCTATAAAAGCCACTGATGTCAATGCAGTCAAATAAATGTGAAGTCACAAATATTGAAATCTTTAGAGCATAATGATAGGGAAGGAGGTTAGGATAGGGTGACTGGGACCCATACATTTGGAATGAGCTGTAGGTCTCTTACACATATATTTTAGTATGTAAGACACCATACTGTGTTCCTTATGTTATGTGTAGAAGCAACTACAATATTAGGTAATGTATGGCACTTGCCAAATAAATTGTATAAAAGGTCATTTCTGGCTGAACTAGTCGAGGAATGTTTCAAAGGAGGTAGTACCCAAGCTGGAACTATGAAGATAAACAGGAAGGTTGGAGATTGGAGGAGGGCGAAAAGGAAGAAAATTTAGAGGACCACACTATCTTATACAATGTTAGAGGGTGCCTGACCCATGCCTGAGGACAATGAAAAGGGAGAGAGAAACTATAGCAAGAGAAAC